AGCATCGATAGACAATATACGACCACCGATAGAGAGACTGAGATCTATGGCTTTGGCAGAAGTCACTATCTTCCGTCCCGAGGCTAGACTCACCTCGAGATGATCGACAGCGGTAATGGCATGAACTCCGATGGCATCGAGACATCGTCGTGATATAAATGAATGTGTCACTCCAGTATCAAACAAGGCAAAGACAAGAATATCATTAAGCATAAGCATCCCAGACATAGTACCTGGGTGTTGTTCCGCTTCAGCCTGATCGATCGCGTAAACCCTAGCCTGCTGTCTGCCCCTCTGCTGCTGCTGGGTAGCCTCTGAGCCTGTTGTCGGGGCTGCTGCTGCTGCTGTGGTTGCTGAGGCTGCTGTGGCTGCGGCTGAAGTTTCTTCAGACATCGACTAGCAAAATGCCTGGGCTCGTGACAGTAATAACAAATATCCTAGCCCATGTGACACTCTCCGCGATGAAGTCGACCGCAAGTGGGGCACTATGGAATCTGCAGTAGTCTCCGTCGGGTCCTCCTGTCCATCGGGGCACCTTTCCATTTCCTCTTGTTGTTCTTCGGTAGCTGGGCAGTAGCTGGTGGAACTGTGGATGACTGGGCAGGGCAACTTGCTGCAATCGGTTCTGGTTCGCCTCCCTTCGAATGCTGGCATCCACCTCCTGGGCAATGGCAACGGTACGAGCGTTCTGGGTCACGTGACCTACAATATTGTGACGGACTGCTGGGTAAAGCCCGTCAGTAAAATGCTGTGCTCGTTGTGCCTCAGTACGCACTAGATCTGGAACAAAAGCCCCGAGTCTGGCAAACTCTTTCTCGTACTCATCAACAGAACGAGTACCCTATGTGAGCGACAAGAACTGCCGCTCCATCTCAGCTCGGTAGTACGTGGGATAGTATTTCTCCCGAATCATCTCCTTGAATCTCTCCCAGGTACAACCTTCTTTCTCGCCGGGACGCATACTCCAGTAGGCATTCCACCAGAGTCGGGCATGACAAGTCAACTGAAGCTGTGCGCATATAACGCGATATCAATCTGGACAATCCATGACCTCAAAAATCAATTCGAGGCCTTGAATCCATTTGTCTACAATACGCGGATCTCCCTGGCCAGAGAACTTCTCAGGGTGGTAGTCGCGGAACTGTGCGACCACTGTGGCCTGGGGGACCGCTGGCTGTTCAGGTTCCCTACGGGGCGGCATCTGAATATTGAAATGATTCAACATGATCAAAACACAAGGAACATACTTTAACTGATCACTAAGCGCACAAATTTCTTGACGAGTTGCTAAACATGACTGGGAAATACTGACATGAATCTTGACTACTGATCCTGAACATAATTCAAGCATCTTAACTATATTATAACTGAACAATTTTCTGAGCATAGAAATAGTAATTGGTTTATAATTTAAAACATGAATCAACACTTATCTGTAGTCGGCGAGGCGTGAGCGTGACGTGTTCAGGTTTTCGAAAATTTCTGACTCGTGAAAATTTTCAGAGACGCAAAAACGTGCTCTGATACCAACTGTAACACCCCGCCTTGTCATGAAAATCAGAGTGCGTAATTTCGCAAAACTTTTTAAAATAGAACCATTAGTTTGTGAAAACTGATACGGAGTGCTATCGTAAAAACATGACTTATTCTGAAAAACTGTTATTTTAGTCTTTAATAAAAATCTACGGTTAACTTAATGTATTGACTAACTGATAGTCTGATCAAAAAGTAAGTTCGTCAAAAGTCATGAACAGCGGAAACGTATCATCGTCAAAATATTTACAAACACATGATCAAAAGTCCTGAACCATCCGCCTTCTCACACCTTCGGCCCGACGTCCTGACCTGAAAAACATGATAAAAGTGGGGCGTGAGCACTAAAATACACTGTGCTCCGTGGAAACTCATACTAAAGTAAATAGTGAAAATAATTACAATAACATGATCTTGGCATGAACATGAACATGAAACTGGTACTGAATGATCATGATCTGATACTGATGGTGAGATAATATCATCACCTGCCTGATACCTGAACATCTGCCAGCAAAATACTAATGTCGGACACCATGTGCACACTCTAGTGGGCAGATTAAGGCCACTAGTGTAACACCCCGCTAACTTACTAAAATCAGAGTGCGATTTTCGCAAATTCTCTTATAAAGTTTACATTTTATTTTGCGAAACATATCTCGGGATGCTACATAAAATATTCCTTTTCTAAAAATCATTGAACTTTATTAATTTTCTAGAATCATTTACGAAAAACGGATTATCTTTAATAAAACAAGCGCGTAATACTGTATAAAACTTGACCCGAAAGTTTGGATCGTCGCTTGAAAATTTACACGCTAGTTTGGAAGTCAGAAAACGTCAGCGGAAGTAAAACGTGGCAAATATATACATATCAACAGTTTGCAAAAATATATACATATTTACATGTATTGGACCGGCGACCACTAACTCCACTCACTCCTCCGGACCGACCCTGTCTCCTGAAAAGAACCATAATAGTGGGAGCGTGAGTACTATAAACACTGTACTCCGCAGAAACTCATACTAAAGTAAACATTAATAATAATATCAATATCATTACTGCAGGTATATATAAGTAAACTGTAATCTGTAAACTCCAGACACGAGGTCTGTACTGAACTGGCCATGTGCACACTCTGATGGGCAATTAAGGCTACTGCGCCTCCACCAGAACTCTGGATGGGCAATTAAGGCTACTGCGCCTCCACCCAAAGTGGAATAACTGATATACATACCTTAAAACATGATAGAGCAATTATAACCAATGTAATACCCAGTCTGAGTCCCCACCTGTACTTATAATGTAAGTGCTGCTGCTGCTAACTCTGTAAACATTATATAAATAAACAAATACTAAGTACTACGCTCAGACTGACTGAAAATAACTGTTAAGATGCTCGACTCGCCCTAAATATTTAACTGGAATATTCTCGGGACTTAATTTGACTGACCAGTAAAAGCGGACTGAACTGATACCGGAGTACTGGACTGAAAAATTAACTGAAATACTGTACTGGATTCAAATCGGATCAGTAAATACTGAACAGCTCAAAAACAGGTCTAAACCGGCCGGTTCATTTCCTGGTCGGACCGCCGGCTCGCTGCGGCCGGGCGGTCGGCTGCTGGCTGACCAC